ACAGGTAGCTATGCGTGTAAAGAGCTCAAACAGTTGAAATATGAATACCTTGAGCATACGTGCTGAATAGCTATACGGTCTAGAATATGAGGACAGATAAGAAGTAGTTTCCGTATGCAATTGATAGAGTTTTCACGGTGAAGGTAGGAATGATTATGGAAATTTCTGGCGATGATTTTCCGTCACACAAATTCATTCGATTTTATGGTTTAACGTTCATTTATGACAGTGTTAAAATATATGCTCGCTTTCCTAAACTGAGCTCACTGGAGCATGCGAAGTCGTGTAGAAGTGTATAGAAACCAACAAGAGTCTCCCAAGTTTTCTCCCAACACATGTAAGGAGCGTGCCATTTTCTTAAGCAAATCATGAAATTTTCGATTCCTTCTCCAACAGGAACAGTTTCCCTCTGAAATTGAAGCAATCGATACCCAATCACATAACGGATACTATATCAAGAGGAATAGGTTATACTCGTAACCGTTTCAAAGATATTCAGACAAGCGCGATTCTCACCGCTCTCAACCGTGCCAGTTCCTTAAGCAACTCGACCGATGGCAGTCTATTCGACAAAATAGATAAGAAAACCATGATTCATGATGATATTCGCTTTCGTGCCCTTCCGAGCCTACGATACCAAGGAAAGAAGCTCCTGTCCAGGAGTTTAGTGTACCTGCAAGTCAACGACTGTACCACACCTGACCTACGATGCTAACTCACTCTTGAGAGTTCATTTTTACGCCCTGCTCCACCTTCACTGGTCCTATAACTTCTCCCGCAATGATACCACTCCAGATCATTACCCCTCCACCCCCTTGCTGGCGTTTTGATCGGGTTGGATGGGCAGCGCCATCCTGTATCCATCCTCGAGCCCATCCAAGGTGGCACGCGATTCATCCGTCCACAAGACTTTCGAGAAGTCCACCTTCATGTGATCCTTGGCCCATTCCAATCTCTTCTCTCTACGAACTTTCGTAAGTGATGGCCTGGACTTGGCCTTCACCACCTTCCCGATGGTGCTTAACACCCTGCATCTCGTACTTTTGCTATAATTCCCGATCCCGGCTGCCTCGAATAATTGCTTACTACTACTCAAAGGACAGCGACTGACTTCGTGTTTGACTCTCCGCCTCTCTCGGTCCGTTACCGACTTTTTATACTTCCCACCCTTCCTAGAGTATACCTTGGAAGGGTCTGCCAAGTACTTCTTGATCGTTCGATGATCTCTGGCGAGTTCCTTTGCAATATCGAGAGTTCCCCTGCCTTCAGCGAGCCTCTTGACAATAAGAGACTTCTCAGAGTCGCTTAAATGAGCTTGTTTCGGCATACTACGGTGATTGTTATAAGTTGCTTAAGGAACTGGCACGGTTGAGAGCGGTGAGAATCGCGCTTGTCTGAATATCTTTGAAACGGTTGCGAGTATAACCTATTCCTCTTGATATAGTATCCGTTATGTGATTGGCTATCGATTGCTTCAATTTCAGAGGGAAACTGCCCCTGTTGGAGAAGGAATCGGAAATTTCATGATTTGCTAAAGAAAATGGCACGCTCCTTAGTTGACCATGTGCGGTTCGTAACATGAGCTTTCGTTCATTTCAGGAGTTCCTAGGTGTCTTTCAAGCACCGCTCGGCAAGTCGTAGGGAAGCTGTTATGGTTGGTTGAGTCGATGCGGGAGGATATTGACGTTCCCAAGGCGAAGAAGCTTATTCGATCGTGTCGTGGCTTGAAGGTAAGCCGATGGCCATGAGGAGTTTATGCAACTGCTACACCTGCAATTATCTTGGGCAAAGTGAAAAGTGCTGGTATCGATTGTGAGTTTCCGAAACAGTTATATGAGTAATGTGAATGCCTCAACTCGGGCCTAGTAGTGTGCATCGCTTTAATTGTGGGCGTGTTTTCAAAGTGGTCTTTGCTGTGTGAAGGTTCGACGGGAGCTCTTGCTGAGCACTCTGAGAGATCGTCTAGCTGCTGATGGCGAACTTGATGATGATACTCGACAAGCGCTTGAAGACCTTGAAATCACCACTTCATGATTTACTGTGATTGCTCGATGTGTTTCTTTGATAGTGAGGTGCACTGGTTGGGTTAATATGATCAATTTTGTTATGGGGGATGAGCGTCGTTTGATAGTAATTCGGTATGAAGATAGGAAAGCTAGTCGGGTTTGAATGTAAATTAGAGTTTGTATGGACATCGTGTCCGAGTGGTTAAGGAGTTGGACTTGAAATCCAATGGGCTCAGCCCGCGCAGGTTCGAATCCTGCCGATGTCGTCTTTTCCGTCTTTTGTCCAGAGGGATTGGAACACGCTCGGTGCTAGTGCTGTTGTGTTGGTGGATTCAGTTGGGGGGAGGGAATCTTAGGTTGCCCCGTGTATGATACGGAATATGTCGATGACGGTAGGTATGGAATGTAAGATTTCTCATCTGTGGTTCACTATAGACTAATAGCCCTGCCCTATGCGGCTAGTAGCGGGTGAGTTTTCCGTGTCGTACTTATCAGTTTGTACTATCCCTCGCAACCTTTGGTAGCCACATATTGTTACCTCTTTTTTACCCACCCACACTCTCAGCGCTAAGGCATGTGATGTTATTCTTCTCTTTCGAACGGAACCGTATCTGCAACACTCTTTGAAAGTCTTCGCTGTGCGCAGGGAAATATCTTTTCTTATTTCAAGCCTCTTAGTAGATGACAGAACGATTAAAGATTCTGGTAACTGGGGGATCGGAGTTGTTGGGACGTATGGTGTTGCATACGTTGGCGAGGTGAGTATCTAAGGTTCCTGCTGGTAAGATACAGATTAGGTCCGAGAATGTGGTTCATGAAGAATTTGAAATTCGTTAAATTGTGATGGATAAAGTATCTCCAGTGTTGTTTCTTGTCATTGAGATGAGCTCAATGATCTTGATTGATGGATAATTTTAATTTTTGGAATTTTCTGAATTCGTTAAATTTCGTTTTTAAAGTTTGTTAAATTTGTTTACCCTTCCTGGAGCCCGAAAATAATCGGGAAAATTTACCAAATTTTATCAGAATTTTCCGAAAAATTCTCTCTGTGTTGAAGCAATGCTAGCCACAGACGTATCTTAGGTGATAAGATTCATCTCAGGGGATATTCCAATTCTGTCATCTACTTATTCGTTGAAATCAGCACGGAAGATTGCTTTAATGTTGATGGAAATTTTGGTGCCGAAACTGCAGTGAAAACTGGGAAGATTATGCTGACACAGGCGAGCGTTGAGGAATGCCTAGTGGGAGCAAGATTGCAAGATTTAGGTTCCCTCCCATCTGATATCAACGCGGTTGTTCACTGTTGTTGTAGCAGTACTCCTGAACAAAACGGAAAGTGAGCTGCGGTTGTTTTTTTCCGACATGTAGATTTTTTCAGATTTTTTGACCGCTGTGTGTCGCAGCTGCCGCGTCTGCGTATTTTTGTGTACGCTAGTTCTGTGTACGTCAACGTTGGTGTTCGAGGGCGACACAGTGATGTTGGAAAATCAGCACAGGTGAGGCTCTCTTGAGCGTGCGAGAGATACATTATAACGTATCAGTGTTGGAGGAATATATGCTCGCTATGCTCTGCTGATCATGGGTGTTAAGATTTATATATTATTTAGTACACTGGAGTTTCACTCTAGTGATATGAAAAACATATTCCGAGCCTGTTGCATATCACCGCGAATATCGCGTTTTTCACCGAGTTTTACGACGCCACTTCACGTTGAATATAAATCTATGAAGATAAAAATAGTATATAAATCTATTATTTTCTCCATAGATTTTTATATTATTTTTACGGGTGAAACTTCATTAGTATAAACTTTTCGCTCCTATAGGCGTTCACATTGGAGGCGTCTTCGCAACGACCGAGAGCGTCATCGATTACAGCAAGAATGATAGGGAGCTCTCGTATGAGATGGCCGAGCAAAAGCATCTACCTCAAGTAGGTGGACCTATTCCGTATCTTCCAATCGGCAACCTAAGATACTTTTCCATTTCTGATCAGTTATTGTTCGGAGCAAGTTCTTGGCAGACTTTGGTTGAGTCAAAACAGCCGCAGTTTTCAATTGGTGGGAATTCCTCATTTTCTTCTGATTCTTTACTTTTCCCTATAGGCGTTCGTCCGCTTTGGTTTGCTGACACCACCAGCGTGCTCGACTTTAACAAGAGTGTTCAGTTCGGTGGCGGAGCGATCGAAGGTGTCTCAAGGGTTGGGAGAAGACAGAAGGACGATTGTTGGAAACGCCGTGGGAGATTTGATGGTCATTTCGTTGTTGCCATCATTGGATGGTCGGAAGACTGATCCGAAAGCGGAGATCTTGATCACCCCAGCGGATTTGGCTGCCAGGGTTGTTGTCAGTGTTGCAGTCGAGTGCGTAGGCGGCTCGGTTGAGGTAGGGAAGGGTGTGGGTTCGATTCGTGGTGGAGGTATTTTTACATCAGGTTAGTGGTGAGGGTCCGCAAGTATATGCATTAGCCTTGGCATCTCCACTGCTTCAATGGGGGAAGTTACGCAGATTGATAATCGATCACTCGGGCGGGCGCGTATCCGCGGCCTATGGTCGTCAGAGCGGCGCTATTCTCCGCAGGGCTCAGTCGTCGAACGAGGTACCATCAATTTTCCATTTAATCAAAATTTCCAAATACTTATGTCGCGTCGTTTGGTATCGTCCCGTCCGACCTACGTATTATATTCTTAGGTATGCAGTTCCTCGTTAGAGTTGATAGCACCGGAGATCTGTCAAGATGCACGCGGCATTCATGTTCACAACTACCTCCTCCATTGTCTTGGTTTGATCGAAAATGGCGGAGCGGAGTTTTTGGATGATGTTCACTCATCATCGTTGGGGAGGAGTCTTACGATGCAGCAAGCACTACGCTACACTGATGTGTTGTCGGATGCAAAGTGGCAGCATGGAGGAGTGCTCAACTTTGTGGGTTAATTTTGTGGCGCGCGGTGATTTCCAGATGGTTGTAGGCACTTCGAAAGGAAGCGGTATCGTATCATATGCCTGATATGAATCGAGTGAGGGCATTGGTGATGAACTCGAAAGCTGTTCAGGACGCTACTCACAGCAAAAAGTTGAAGGCTGAGGCGGCGGCGATGCTGGTATGGCAAGCGGTATAGCATATATATGTATTCTATACATATATAGTATATTCAACACACTATGTATGTATGTATAGTGTTCGAGGAATATACTATGTATGTTCGCGCAGATGTTTCCTTACTACTAACATACGAATTCGACCTCAGAATTTTCATATTGTCACCAACATATGTAGTTGAGCATGTGCATGCTTTCCCACGCTGCATTTTGAACTCACTCGTGTCAGCGTCGGTCGAATGCCTCGGTGCTGGTTGAACCTTGATCAGACTGATGTCATAATTTCGGTGGTTGTGAAAATTGTACGATTTGTTCGACGATAGTCGTTGAAATTTTCACACATGTTAAAACGGGAAAATGCCACGGTTTCGCAACGGAAGTGCATTCGGTGTTCTTCATCGAATGATTAAAGTAGCAATTTTAAGAAGATTTCGAAGATTGGAATAATAATTTCTTATTGGATTTTGAAGTTTTCCTGCACAATTTCGCTGTCGATAGTACGCGCGATCTCGATAACGAAAATACGTGTGCAGAAGTAACTTTCCCAAAACAATGACTTGGACGCTCAAAGTTGTAACATGTGTGGGGGAAAATAATATGCACATGGTCAACTAAAGTGTGTTGGTGATGATGACAATGTGAAAATTCTGAGAAAATTTCGAGAAATTGTCGTTGGTTTGTGTACATTTGTTACACAAATTAGTATATAAATTACTGTAATTGCTGAGGAAACCCCCGAGCTCAGCTGAGGAATGCGAAAATATATTCCAACACTGGTAATATAAGCCACTCTTGTGCGCAGTCGATTTTTTGAAAAAAAATTTCACGGCACTTTGGTGTAAATTTTGGTTATTGTCAGGATCGTATTATGGGCAACCAGAGGAGTGACATTTTACGAGCATTTGTCATCGTATTGCATCGCGTATTTGTTTCGATATACGACAAAGTACTTGTCAACCACGATGGTTTGGAGAAGCTGAAAGAGTAGGAGACCCGGGTTCGATTCCCACTGGAGGCATTTTTCTGTTGCAGACTGAATAAACGTGGTGCCAAGGTGCTCCTACTACCGACACATAGGAGCTATATCGATTTCCTTGTTCTCAGCTACATTTGCTTTTAGTAAGGGCAGCGGTAACGTGTGCTCGAGTTGCTCTTTGGTGGTGAAGACCTAGGGGAATCTTGAGCCTTGTGTTAGACGATTCGAAAAGAGTTGTTCTATTGGTCGGAATGTTAGATAGGAACATCGACTGACATTTGAGAGCCATAGGGAATTACAATTACGGTAGACTAATAAGAGCGTTTGAAATTCAAAATTACTCAATTGCATCACATAAGCTTATATTCAAACTTTGAGTGGAATTTTATGTGATGCAACTGAGTCATGTCGGGTGAAGATTTCAAAGCTGTTTTGGATGCAGTGTGGAGAAGTTTCACTCGGTTGTTGGTTTTGTTTCAGTGCCGACATTCGGCTGCCTTTTATTGCTACCGGAGATAACTTCTTTTCCATCGTGGGAATATGGAAGATACTACAGCATTCAGGTGAGAAAAGTTTCCGATGCGGGGACTCGAACCCCGGTCGCGTGGGTGAGAGCCACGAATCCTAACCAGCTAGACTACATCGGATGATAATGTTTACAATGTGTTGTTATGTTGATCCGAATGTAGGTGCATTCTTTATGAAAAGATCTTTCAACAGCGAGACTCATCCTCTTTACTCGATTGTTTTCAAGACCTACATACAGGTCATCCTGGAGGAGCAAGGTGATCATCAGTCTTTTCCTCATACTCTACGTTTCTCATTGATAACAAGTGTTGGAATATATCTTCGCTTTCCTCGCCTGAGTACATGAGTTTCCTCACTAATCATAGGAGTTCATAGACTAACAGGGTTAGAAGTGTATAGAAACCGGCAAGAATTCCTCAAAAATTTCCTCCTAGGATTTTCATATTGTCACCATCACGTGCAATTCTTACCACGCTGTTAACAACTCCCTTATTCAGGGTGCGTAGAGATGTTCATCGAAGGAGCTCGCTCTAGAAGTGGGACGATGATCCGCCCTCCCAAAGTTGGCCTTCTGAGATTTGCTACCGAATCTGCTGTTCATAATGCGATGAACGCCACCTCGATGACTGACTTTATAGGTGAGGGCCGAGTAGAAAGTCTAGTACACTGAGTGGGTTGAAAACACTTTTTTATTTCGTGTACCACAATTTAGTGAACTTCAACCAGAACCTATAGAGAAATCACCATTGCGGTTCAAGTCCAGCATATCTAGCTCAGATGAAGAGGATGTTTATCTCGTGCCGATTTCTATCGGTTACTCTAGAGTGATGGAGGTAGACTCCCTCGCCACCGAGCTGGAAGGGCGAGCCAAGGTCGCTGAAAGCCTCGCCCGAACCGTTTCGTAGGCATAGTTTAACCGCAGCGTTCGCCGCACTCCTCTTTTTGCAGGGCACTACGTTATTTATCTATGAACTTTGGAACGTTGACGGTGCACATCGATCCTCAACCGATTCGAGTTAGCGATGTTGTAAAACGTTGGAAGGACGATCAGAAAAGTGCGCAGTGGAGTTCGCTTTCCTCATCTGAGTTCAGGAGTTTCCAAAGCTAATTGTAGAAGTAGTATGTACAGAAACCAATGAGAATTTCCGCAAATTTCATTTACTATATGCATGTTTTCATACACGGCTCGCAGTGAGTCGCTCATAGGTAAACACTCTCCTCCTTCCGGGAAGAAGTGTCATCAATATTATACCACTCCATTTCAACAACTCGCTGAAGAAGTGGCTGATCGTTTGGATGCCAACATGCCTATTCACACCACTCACCTGGTCGGTCTTTGAATGCTTCGGATGGGCGAGAAAGGTCGAGTTTAGGTGGCTGCAATTTTGCTGTGGAAACGACACGACTCGTCGCCTGCTGTAAGTCACCCTGTGATGGTGGACAAAGTGAGATGGCTCTGTGGTATATTGAGGAAAAATGGTGTAACGGTTATACTCGACGACAACAATGTGAGAGGTCGTGGGTTCGACCCTCAGTGATGATGTTTTGGTGTATCCTCTCAGACCTCCTCAGCTGTCTCTCGCGTGGCTTCCCTTTACGTCGATCATGTCGTCATATCTGCGCCCGAGGAGGAGACCGGTGAAGTGAAGTGAGCTCGGTTATTGACGAATGCTTCGATGGAATAATACTTTCACTGTGAAAGTTTCACAATCACTTTAATACTGTCGAAAACAGATGAGAGTCGATCGATCACTGGGTGCCATTGCTGAATCGTGGAGTAGACCTGCATAACCTAATTCGTTGATATAACCTTCTCCACAACACCTCGTGCTCCTCATCAGAAGTCGTACAATCCCACTCGAGTCGATCTAATAAGTGTCGTCATCCCCGTCCATACCATTGCTAGATTTGAATCTTCTGTGTAGCTATAGTGAGCACCTTACTTATCAGATACTCGGTATGTCCTACCAACCCGCTGTTCGCCACACTTCTACTCAGCTACTATCGCAATCAGCTAATCTACCGTCTCGGTCACGAGGCCTGTCTAGTCTTAGCTGGTGGTGATCCCAACAAGCTGACCTTCCTTCGCGAGGAACTACTACTAGAATGCATTCCCCTGGTCAACCCACACGAAACCGCTATAGAGTCTGCTGAGCTTAAAGACTTCGCGGTGTCCCTCATTGGACCAGTCGTGGAGTGCTGGTGGATCGTAGCTCTTGCTGCATGCAGCCACGGAAGGCCTTGGTCCGCTACTCTCAATGAACTGGTCTCGTCAGCATCGACTCTGGCGAAGGATATGTTCGCGGAGGGCAAGTGTGTGTATTTGGAGGCGTGCTCTTTTGACTTCGCAAAGAAGGCAGTTCGAGGAATGGAGAAGCGAGGGTGAGCACATACGCCACTTCACTACTTAAGTGGGGAGAGTGTGAACTGCCCTGTCTGGAGCCTCATCGTTCGGCTGTGTGAACTACAGTCCGATCGAAAAATGTCCAGAGCTGATCTGAAGCATTCAAGCTCTTGAGGGCCCTACGAATGTCTAATGAGCTCGGGATCATCCCTTTGTTCTTACTTTTAACGGCTGCGGACATTTTTTGACCGGACTGTATACGTATACGTTGTGTACAGGTGTAGCGTATATTACGTATACGTAGACACACATACTGTTATATATGTACTATATGACTCGATTGATGGTATAAAGAACTGCTCGGTGATAGGTCTGGCTCTTCTTAGTTCACATATCAGAACTCCTTGATTTGTTTTATATCGTAGCTCCTGCGTATTGGATTGAAGTCGATCGAGGAAAGAGTAAATCGATCGCATGCTGTTTTTCTTGACTTGCAGATGCCTAGTGGTGAATGGTAAGAGTCTCCACGTTGTATTCGAGAAGATGCATGAGCTCTTGGCTCTGCTGCAGTCCATAAAAGAGTGTATGTTCATGGTCGCCTAGCATCATCATCATCATCATCATCATCATCATCATCATCATCATCGATGTATCCTTGCAATTTCAGGCCCAGCTCTTCCCCAAACCAGAACACTGTCGAACTCCTCAGAGGCATCATGTGGTGTTGAAGAGAAGCCACCACAGAGGAGGTTCTTCACTCAACTCCGCGGGATGACCCTTGCTAGACCCCTAAGCCGCTCTGCTGACACTTCCAAGATGTGATGGCCATCGGCTGGATGTCGAGCTGGTCATGCTCTTTGAGAGAGCTGTTATCATATATTCGTTTGTCTTTTTGTCATGGTTAGTTTTGAGATATACAGTCTCTAGGATCAGCATCACGGTAGTCGCGTTGACAGTTTTTTCATGGTTGTGGGAGGGTACATCCTCTGACGATCACTACTTCAAGACTAAGTGCATGTATCAGCTCTGTGTTCGGGAGCTGTTGACCACGCGACATCGAGTCGCAGAATCAATACTTGCCTGAGCCGGGTCAGTAACAGGGCGCATAAAAGACCCACAATGACTTGCTGTAGTGGCTGTAATCTATCTATATGACTTCATATGTAACGTGAGATTCGAATTTGATCCATTCAGTAGTAGACCTCGATGAGTGGCCACAATAGATAGATATGTCGCTCGTTGCGTAACCCGAAGTTACCGATTGTTCACTTGTACACAACACAAAGAATCAGAGTGAACACTTTTATTTTGATCGCCTTGGCAGGACAGCTAGCTGGCTTGATATTGATGTATTTATGATCTATGGGAATCTGTCAGGCGACACCTGCAAAGAATGGATAGTATAACGTCTGTCGTGATCAGATGAACCATCGCCCTGCTGGCCCAATGGATAAGGCGCCACCCTCCTAAGGTGGAGATTCCGGGTTCGATCCCCGGGTAGGGTATTTGTGCTATAACATTTCATGCAGAAGACATCGCTTACATCCATCGAAGATTCCTCATTCTCAAATTCGTTCTCGCCCAGATCGTTCTCATCTTCTTCATCGCTGCTGCCAAGAGTCTCGGGCTGTCTTTGATAGACTCCTACTGTACGGAGTAGATCACCCCATTTGGAGACATCGTCGCAAACAGGGCATTCTGAAAGCAGCGACGCTATGTCGAAATGCAGATCAGACTCGCTTGACAAGAGGAGGGGGGCATGAGACAGTTACGGAATGTTAAAGATGATTCAATACTATAATACAACATCTTCAATGTACCAATGTCAATTATATAAGTAATAATATCTCCGTATTGATATAAAGAGGCGGCAGTCTTACTCACAAAGTCCGGGATAAGTCGATCTTCTGCATCAAGCACCGGGGATCCAGTAGGATCGCAGCACCCTTCAGAAGCGATGCATGTGATGTGTGAAGAAGTCCGACAGGACAAACATACCGCTCGTTTAGTGACCCCCACCGTGAAGGCTTGCATGCAGACACAGCAAGAATGATTGCGACTGTCTGCCTCGTCTACGAGCGCCTAAGGACGAAGATTCTTAGAAGTTCCAATCCCAGCTAATGTGGGTTAATCAGCATCCCGTAAGAGTATCCTCCCACTCCACGTTGGCAGACTCCGTGATCACGGAATCATCTCACCTGGGAACTCCCTGCAACATGAGTTCGATGGAGAACTTCTATAGGTAAGTGTTCTATCCGAAAACATGCGCCCGAGGCCGCTTCACCTATGGGGAGACGAACTGCAGAGGAACGCGTCCCGTCGCACTCTTACCTCTCGCAGCCCTGAACTCCGCTACTTTCGTTTCTACAGCGCTAGCCACCCCGGGCTCGAGGACGTTGAGCACGAGTGGCATGCGGGACCATGGAGGTAGATGAAGCATGCCGATGACCAGTGCAAGGCTGTCATGGACGTTATTGGTCCTCTGACGCCCACGCTTGGTCAGGCCTTTACCTGACGGGAGGAGCAGCCGAAAGATCCACTCCGGCAAGCAGCACTGCCGGGTGATTCACCTATGTTGGCTAGACCTTCTCGAGTGAGTCGTGATAACCTGGGATGCTGCCACGTCCACTCGAACTGTAATGCCTGAACGACACTGGAACATGGATTAACACAACATGCCAAGGAGTCATTAATAGTAATCTTCTTGTATGTCCCCTCGAATAAGATATTCCAAGTCGCTATCGTCTAGTGGTTAGGACGTCACGTTGTGGCCGTGACAACCCCGGTTCAAATCCGGGTAGTGACTCTTTTCTCACCTGAACTTGACTGCTAAATCCATAGCAAACCAACAACATCTTCCAAGGTCTGTGCCGCTTCGTCCGATGTGCTCCTCCATTATTCAGCTCCCCGTTGTGCTGGCGAATCCTGATCGAATGAACTCCAACAACTACAAG